ATGACCCTAGTAGCGCGCTATGACATGGCCTGATCCTCTGGGATGAGCGATATCATCTGTGTCTATAACTGATAGGACCTGATAGCCAAATATTCCCTACGCCTAATGTAACAGTTAGGAACATTTATCATATCTACTAACACATGGCGAGAGGGGTTTCTCTAGATAACACTTAACAAGATTGTTTGTAAAGCGCAAGTGTAATGTTGGGAGAATTTTGTTATAATCTCTGATACTTTTAGGCGTAGACTCTATATTCTCCTAAAATGTTTCCTGCGGTGACCCTAATCTTCATGAAATGCTTGATAAGAGTGTAGAAGGGAAAATCTCAACGTATTTGTATATGTCTTTGGAACAACATGATGAAATTGGTTATTATTTACAAGCTGATGTTAATACGCTTACTTGTAGAACTCATTCACTGTGAGGTAAGTATTTTCATTACTCATCAACATTAGTTTTTCTCTAACCTGCTCTCTAGTGCTGTGTGTCTATATCTGGACGATTTATTGCATTATTATAAAACTTCTTCATTGGATTCCAGCCGATTGTAGAACCTGTAGAAACCGTGAGAGTTTTGTAACACTCCATCATGTTATCATAAAGCTTAAGTTTAAAGCTTAATTTGCTAAGTGTTTCGCTTGAGGGCCAGGTCAAAACACTGTTTGAAAATTATTCTCGTTAATCATGCGAATTTTTAGCTATTTTGTAAATAGCTTGAACACTTTCAACCAAAAATTGTATGTAATACTTAATATTGTACTTAATATTTATTTTGAAGTCAGAGATCTTTACTGTTGAGTGATTCGATACATATGTTTAGTTCTTTGGTAATTTCTAGGTAATATTTCAAGGATTTTTTAAACACAGAAGAGCTCTGGAATTTCCGTAAAAGTTTTGTTCCCCCATTGTAAAGGAACTAAAAGAACCATGGCTTTTCAAACAAATCTGACCTCTTGACCTCAGTGCTTTTATCTAAAACCCTAGAGCACCAAACTTCAATCAAGCTAATATGAACATTGTTATTGGTTTTCAACCTTTATCTCCACCATGCGCCAGGATTTCTAAAGAATGTTTATACTGAGGAGAAATACGGTCAACATATGTTCAACTTGAGATTTCTAAACAGTTGTCTTACTCGTGCAGCGATTTAATCTCCGGTCATCGTCATTTATCTATGATACAAGTGGGCTTGAGTTTTGAAGTTGAACAAACATAAAGGCAAAAACGAACAATACAGAAATAAATAAAGTCAAACAAACTAATTATACTAAAGTGCAAAGCGTAGATAATTTCTAGTTTTTTCCACTTCATATGAGCTTTGAACACATAGGGAATACATCGGGTTTTTTGTCTGGTTGGTCGTACCAGTGGTCTTCAGATACTTTTAATTATTTATTTCAAGTCGGTGTGAATTAGGAAGAATTTAAAGAATGCGATAACTACGTACGAAACAATACTCCACCTCAATACCCTGATTATATCATTTGCTTCATATTTGAGAACAGCACTGGATTTCCCTTGAACCAAGCTCGGGAAATACTAAATAATTATTGGATGAAGCTTAGCATGATATAAACTAAACCAATGCCGCGTTATCTTCCTATCTTCCGAAGCCGTAGGCATACGAAGACCGAATTAAATAATTGTTTTATTCATACATTTTTTAAAACTGAGAATAATGCATTTATCAGTGTTAAGTTCACACGAAAGAAAGAAAGAAAGAAAGAAAGAAAGATTTATATGATAGTAGCAGAAGGAATCTGTGATATACATGCTTGTAACCATTATAGGCACTGTTTGATGTTATTTTTAGCTTGAGTTTATTTTGGAAAAAGAACCTGATTGGTTCAATCAATTCAGGCGTGGTCGCATAGGTCTTTCAGTCTTAACAAACCTTGATACATAAAATGAATTATGGCGGCTCTTTTTGTGGACGATTAAGAGTGGAGAAATATGGTACCTTTCGTGTTCAAAAACAAGACATAATATAAGCTTAGTCTTTTAAGACTTAAAAGTCTTAAAGTGCGAGCAAAACTCCATGAGGCACTTTCGGGGAAGAAATCATGTAAAGGCGAAAGCCTCGATGAAACTCATGCACAACAAAAAATTCCAGAGCCAGCAACAGGCACTGAAGAAGTTTTTTAACTGAAGTCGTTATCATCAATTTAAAAACTTTTGACTTTTTTAGGATTTTTGAGACCTTAACTGTTCGTCACACGATCTGTTAATAAATGACTCTTCCTTCTTGTCTTAACTATCTTGTCTATCAAGTTACTTGTGATGTTTTCGAGTTGCTGGAGCTTTTTTCCACTGGTCTTTTCATTTTAGCAGCGTTTGTACTCTTTGTACGTGTCAATATATTCCCCGTCGCTTGGTTCACTTTCCTAATCACTCCGGTTTCATGGTCTCTAATGTTCCTTCATCGCTATGAGTTTCTTAGTCGCTAGATTTCTCATCGCTTGTTTCTCAGCTTCATCACTCTTTTCTCAGTTCATCGCTCGTTTCGTGGTCTCCACTCATTTCATCAAGGCCATCGATATCTGTCTCAGTCGACGTATCCTCATATTTCTCCTCATCACTCGTCGTAATCGTAATCATAATCGTAATCGCAATCGTAAGCGTTAAAACCCAGTGGGAATCAAAAATCGTAGTCTGAAGAGCCGTCGCAAGGTGCATCGTAGCAGCGTCGTAATCGTAAGCTAAGATCAGAAGTAATATTTCAAAGCCTCCAATATCGGACTAGACGGGATTTCAAGTCCAAGCAATTAGTTCCAGTTGGAGGCGGAGCCGAGGACTGGAACTAATTGCGCGGACTTCAAAACCCGTCCAGTCCGATATTGGAGGCTTTGAAATGACTTCTCATGCTCATTAATTATTCGACTTGGAGTAGTTGGAACAAAATTAATTCAGTCCTAGGAACCAAACCAATCACAGGGGACGTTGCAAATTCGTGAAGCCTAGCCCTTACTTTATTTTGTTTTTGATTGATTAGTGCGCGGGCATTGTCAATGAGTTAAAAATAGATCGGATCTAAAAATAGCATCAACGAGTGCTCATGATGGGGCCACGGATTCCTTCTCAGTTCATATTCTCTTGAAAGTAGTTAATAGTACGTTATATCTAATAAAATATAGTCAATAATAGAGTGCTCACACTAAATCCGTGAAACAAATTCACTGTTTTCCATACATCGGTTCACTGGTCAAACAAAAGATTCGAAATGAAGTGAAAAGTTTCTTATAGGGTTTGAGTGATGCATCTTGGAGACATCAAGGTTTATACTCCCAATATGTTAATGACGTGACGTCAAAGGAGGCATTTCAATTTATCTGTTATTACGTGAAACACTGATTACTATGAGAATTTATTTTTGGTAGAACCATTCTTTTTTTAAATCCTAAATAAGACAATGATGTTTTATGCAGGATACTTTACTGCCCCAGAAAAGTTTTAAGGAATAACTTATTTTATTATCTTACATATTCACCACGGCAACTTTTCTGTTGATCAACTGTTAAGCACGCTTTAGAAACATTTTTCTCTTATTTGTTCTTTGACATTTTGAAAAATGCAAATCGAGCAAAGTGATTGAGCAAATAATAATACAGGGATTGAAATATAGTTATTGACGTGAGTAACCTGATCACGTATTAAGCTCCTCCGGATTCCAAAGTGATTCGAAATTCTGGCCATGATTGAAGCCCTCTGAATTTTAAATAGCTATCAAATAAGACGACTCCGAGCAAAACCATTTTTAAACTTTTTTTTAAACTAAAGCATTTTTAAGCAGAAGTTCGGTATCCAGTATTCACAAGACTTTTTTTTCGTAACTATATACCTCGAGGAATGATACCTCTAAAAGAGATTGCATTTGAAAATAAATAGAAAGGAAGTGGTTACAAAATAATCCCATTTCCAGTTCGCCTTTGGTCAGTCTTGATTGTGTACAAATGTGTTCTTTTATTTTATTAAGGTCTATTATATAATAAGGAATGTATTCACTACGGAACAATACGAGTTGATTAAAGTGCTACGGGTTTTGATTGAACAGCTGAATATTATAACACACAAACGAGACTAAGACTAAGACAAAAAGACTCGGAACTGGAGTATTAGCGCATAACTCGAAAACAAAATTTCCAATTTGTCGGGTTCGAGTTACGTAACTCGATTTTAATTTCAACAATGTTTGTCATCTTGTTACGCACTGATGTCAAAGTGACCGTTGTCTAAGCAAAATAGGTGTGTCCGAGCGCGTAACTCGAAAAGCGCGTAACTTCATCCCTCGGTACTTATGAGGCTTCGAACAGCCGCCATGTTGATTGATCTAACAAGAGAAACTAATGGGGAATACTTAGTTGTCGTCAACCAAGATGGTGGTTATGACGTAACATGCACCTGCTTTGTTGCCTTACAGTATGGCATTTTCGTCGATCGCCGGATGGTTATGTAGAAAAATCGAGCGCTGACAATAACGAGAATTAAGGGCCATTTACGGTGATAGTATCTTGTTCAATGAAAAAGAATAAATCTTTGAGGAAAATGTTAAATAGTGCTCGGACCTTTGCTATGAAACATTTTTCTCGACGATTTTTTTTTTTTCATTGAACAGGCCAAGATTTCTAACTATGCTGACAATAAACAATTTATTTTTAATTTTTTGGAATGCATGCTAATGTGATGATTATAAAATATAATTTTATATAGGATTCAAACGCTCATCAATAGAAACCTCTAGTAATTTAGTTTTAGCATTGCAAAGTCCTTGTTCATCATGATAATATTATTCATTTTCTTTAATCTTGTGCCTCGTTCCCAAGCTCATGGGCAGGAATTTATACGTGGTTATACTTGCGTGAGGACTATTAAGGGGATTATTTACTTAATAGTAATAGTTTTGAGAATCTTTATTGATTGTTCAGTATAGTGCGCATACTTTTCTATATCTTGAATATTGTGTATTTATGAATGAACATATTTTTTCATTCAAATGTCAGGATAATGTTGAAGGAAAACGATGTAACAAATGCAAAGTGAGCAATTTCAACCTGGATTCGGGTAATCCTGATGGTTGTATGCCGTGCTTTTGCTTTGGTGTGACGTCACAATGTAAATGTGCAAGAGGATTCCGTGACAAGGTACAGTGACATTTTGAACGAAAACGCCATAGGGATGACGGAAAGAAGAGCATGTTTTACATTCCGCGCAGYATATTATATACTTGCAGACAAGCTCTGAGAAAAGCCATGCTCATGAATTCTCACGTGATTTGCTTAAACAAATTCGATGAAAAACTCAAAACTGATGGCTGACAAACCTTTTTAGCTTGGGCGTATTTGGGCATGAGAAGAGACAATATGGTTAATAACTTAATTTTAAACAAATAACCTTATTTTCTAGGGAATGACACGTGGTGGTCTGAAATTGGAGAAACATTACACCCTTAGATAATGAGGTCTATTTTTTGTTACAGGTTCGACTATCTTACAGATACGAGCCAAATGGGCTAGACAGCGCTGTTCGTTTGGTTGATCGCCTGGGTGTTACTGTCGTGAACACTGGAATACTACTGGTTGGTGTTCCACCACAATTTGTTTATAACCGGTTTGATCGGTTGCCAAGGAAAACTTACTATTGGTATCTACCGATACAGTTTCTTGGAGATAAAGTAAGTGGGGATAATATGCAAAGAACCTAGCAACAAAAAGCGAGAAATATATAGCCAGCTAACGGCAACCACGTGATTTAATAGGCATGACGTATTTCCTCTTTAAGCCATACAAAACCAACTCTACTGGATCAGGGGCGTAGCGAGGCATCGGTCATGGGAGGAGGACAATGTACCATCTTCCCGCGAAAACACGCGCGTTCGGTTTTCATGCGACATCCAAAGCATGCAAAAAGCTTTTTTTTGAGTGGGGTGGGGTGGGGGGTCACTTGAGAAGCTGACATCCAGCGTGTTTTGATCGGAGCGTCAAACACGGAAAGGTTTTTTCATTATTTATTATATTTCTTCATTATTTTTCTTTGTTAAGCCTTGGCTCAATGTAGCACAGTTTCCCTCTCATTTATTCCTTTAACACATCTTTGAACAGCGAGCAATGTTTTTGGCAGTGAACTACAGGCTGCAAGTATATAACCCATAATCTCTGCGGCTTCCCATATAGCCGACAGATCACGTCATCATAATCATTTGTTCCTGTTTTCTTTTAATGATAAATCTTGGTAGGGAGGAGTTGTTGAAAGGGCAAACGTAAAAAAATAGTGTAGAGTAGTGGGGTTACGTTCTCAAATAATTAGATAGTGTAGAAAACGAAAAACGAAAAACCTTCATTAATGCGTTGGGTGGTCACAAAGTTTAAGATTCTCGATTAATAACAATATGTAATCTTTGTTATCTTTGTACTGTTTAGTTTAGTTTATTGTCTTTTAAGCTAATGTAAAACTGATTTACACGGTGATAATAAATTGCCTTTGCCTTTGCCTTTGCCTTTGCCTTAGTGTAGAGTAGTGGGGTTACGTTCTCAAATAATTAGATAGTGTAGAGTAGTGGGG